CTCAGCCTGGAACTGAAAATATGGATGGAGGACAACAGAGCTGCTTCATGGAAGAAGAACCTCAGATTAGCCTGTTAGCTGTTGTGCTAGCCCTGATGCTATATTGTTTTATATGTATTAGCTCAGCGCTACACAAACTGAGGTCCTATGAATAACATTTTATTGTTTCTGTTTTCTCAGTCAGCTCAGCCCATAAACAGAGCCTCCACCTATCAGACCATCAGCCACGCAGGTTTTCAAGGGGGCGTGGCCAAGACCCCTCCTACCAACGACCCCCCAGCCCCCCCGGTCACCGGTTTGGCTCGTTTCCACCAGTCCTTGAGGACTCCCTACACCCTGAACCTGCCAAACGAGCCGGGAAACCCAGATCTGAGGCACATCATTATAGATGGCAGCAACGTGGCCATGGCGTGAGTTCACACACACACACACACACACACACACACACACACACACACACACTGAGCTGACATATCTGCAAATCCTCTTTTTTGTTGTGTACTTTGAGTCTCTGCAGGAACTGTTTGGGTCACATTTATCAGCCTGTTCAGTTCTCTGTTTTCTATGACAGTTTCTGACGTATCACATCAAATTATTTTCTACATGTCTTCTAAATCAAGTCTGGAATTTCAGACTCTGGTTCTGGCTCAGACTCTGGTTCTGGTTCTGGCTCAGACTCTGGATGGACTGGCCTTCCTTGTTCACATCTTTCAGTTTAATTGTAAATAAAATGTTTCTTTAAGCTAAAAAACTTAACCCCCTTTAAAACTGGAGCAGACCGGTCTGGAAGCAGGGGGGGCGGGGCTTGAAGCACTTTAAAGGAACAGCATCAAATCCACCTGCTTTTAGACAGAAAACTGTGAGAGAGGGTCTGGTAAAGTGAAAGCACTGTAGTTCAGTTCATAAAGACCTGAACAGAATGGTTTAAAGTTTAAAAAAGAAAAGCTCTGTATGTTTAGTTGAGTCTCAGACTGTAAAAACATCATGGCTTCTGTTGGACCTTAACCCAGGACGAGCTGGAGACCACCCCTCTGTCAATGATCAAGTCATGAGGTTGATGAGGTCATCTTCTGTCGTTCAAGAAACAAAAACCTAACATCTAGATTAAATTTTGACAATTTAAACTAAAAACTGTTCTCAGTAACAGAAAATACTGATTTAGACCCAAACTGTTAAATGTGATGTATGAATCCAACCAGATGTATTAAATTTAGCTGTTTGAAAATCCAAGATGAGCTCATGTGCACACAGTGATCATGTGGTCCAACTGATCAGTTCTTCTAAGAGCCTTGCTTCATGTCAGGAACATGTGTCAGACATGTCTAATTTTCCTGACATCATCTCTTCTGAATCTCTTCTACAGGTAAGTTAAGGAGTGAAGCAGGAGTTAGTCTGATGACAACCTGTGTTCGTGTCATTTCCCACACTGCTTACATCTTTTCCTTTTCACTTGAGCCAGCACCTTCCCATCAACAGTTAGGGTCACACACACACACACACACACACACACACACACACACACACACACACACACACACACGTGTGCACTAACCTGACCCTGGAGGTGTGGGCCTACCTGAACCTCCTCATGTAGTGCTGACTCATCAGTTTTGTGTTTGACTGTAGCGACCTGGCAGCAGCAGAGCAGCTGGAGCGTTGTGATGTGTTGTGTTGTTGGGTCGTATGGAGGTGTTTCTCTACAGAAAACTTATTTTCTAGTCAAATCTGCAGCCGTACAGTCACTTTCATCCACAAACTGTGCAAGAAGGACTTTAGTTTGTAGTTTTTCTTCTCTGGTTTATCGTCAGTCTTCTTCTTCACTTGTGCAACCACTTCCTGTTTTCCTCCCTCCTCCTTTCCCAGAAGAAACAGATGAGTGTGTGAAGGTTTAACTGTAACAACCTGGAGTTGTGTTGATGTGAGGAAACAGCTCACCGTTAGGCTGACAGCCAGCTGTCTGAGAGAAGACAGTGAAGTTTACCAGCTGTGACGTCATCATGAAGCTCACAGACCTCCATCAGTCCAATAAGACCTCTGTCAGCAGGCGTCAGTCACTCAGAGAAACTCAGTGCCCCCCACAGCCCCCCCAGCCTCACAAACATAAAAACAAACATTGTTTTTGGTATTAGGAGTTAAAACTATGAATGTGAGCCATGACATCAGAGGGTTAAATCTAAAACTGGGACATGGAGAAACAGACAGACGGTGTTTTGATTAAAATGTTTGTAAAAAATGCATTTTGTTAAAACATAATGAATAAAAGTCTTATCAATGTATCATTTGAATGAACTGTCTGTAATATAATCATAAAACTAAATTTTGAAGCATTTTTTGAACTGTAGCAACAAAAAAATGATTTTGAGCAAAAACACCTTAAAATGTGAGATTTTCCTGTGAGTTAGAAATATTTAGTTTCTTTCAGCTGTAAAATCTCAGTATTTAAATATGAAGTTTTCTTTTATAAAGACATCAGGAATTCCTCATTAAAATGAGATAAAATTAGGATTCAGACCAAATAATTAAATTAATTAAATTAAATTTATTATTTTTATTAAAATAACAGGTCAGATTGGAGAACAGGTCAGATTGGAGAACAGGTCAGATTAGAGAACAGCTCAGATTATAGAACAGGTCAGATTATAGAACAGGTCAGATTGGAGAACAGGTCAGATTGGAGAACAGGTCAGATTGGAGAACAGGTCAGATTAGAGAACAGGTCAGATTGGAGAACAGGTCAGATTATAGAACAGGTCAGATTATAGAACAGGTCAGATTATAGAACAGGTCAGATTATAGAACAGGTCAGATTAACGTGATGTGTGTAGTTGTTTCTGTCTGATGACATCATGCTCACAGGTACTTCAGGTTGTAGATTACCTGCAGGATGTGTTGATATAAAACCGTCCAGTCAGATAATCTCTGCAGTAAGAACTGATTTCTTTAACAAAGTCAACGTTCTGTCTCACTGCGTTCCTCTGGTGTTTCTTTGCAGCCACGGCCTTCATCGGTTCTTCTCGTGCCGCGGCATCGCGCTGGCTGTGGAGACGTTCTGGAGGCGGGGCCACAGGGAGATCACGGTGTTCGTCCCTCAGTGGCGTCAGAAGAGAGACCGGCTGGCCACAGGTACTCCTGGTTCCTCAGCAGGCCTTATTGGACCTTCAGACACAACATTTACCTGCAGACAGGTCTTTGAGAGTTCTGGAGGAGGACCCAGTCTGGACCAATCAGCTATTGATGTGTTTATTTTAATTGAAGTTCTGGGAACCCTACTCTGCTCCAGAACCAGGCTGGTGTTCTGTTGGAAGTTAGATGGAAAATCGGACCTGTAGTTGTGGGACAGGTGCAGGTGTGCAGGTGACCCACAGACTCTAAATACCAACTGTTTGATTCCAGAGCAACACTTCCTGAACCTGCTGGAGGACCTGAGGCTCCTGTCCTTCACCCCCTCCAGAGAAGTCTGTGGTCAGAGGATTTCCTCTCATGACGACAGGTAAACAGACACCTTTGACCTGACGAGACCTGGAAGGTCCAAACCCAACTCCTGCTGTGGTTCCTCCTGGCTCAGGTTCCTGCTTCACCTGGCCGAGAAAACAGACGGGGTCATCGTGACCAACGACAACCTGAGGGACTTTGTGGACACGTCCAACACCTGGCGCCGGATCATCCAGGAGAGGTGGGTTCTGTTGGTCCGGTTCTGATTGGTTCTGTTGGTCCAGCTCTGATTGTTTCTGTTGGTCCGGTTCTGTTAGTCCAGCTCTGATTGGTTCTGTTGGTCCGGCTCTGATTGGTTCTGTTGGTCTGGTTCTGATTGGTTCTGTTGGTCTGGTTCTGATTGGTTCTGTTGGTCTGGCTCTGATTGGTTCTGTTGGTCTGGTTCTGATTGGTTCTGTTGGTCCGGCTCTGATTGGTTCTGTTGGTCTGGCTCTGATTGGTTCTGTTGGTCTGGTTCTGATTGGTTCTGTTGTTCTGCTTCTGATTGGTTCTGTTGGTCTGGTTCTGATTGTTTCTGTTGGTCCGGTTCTGTTAGTCCAGCTCTGATTGGTTCTGTTGGTCCGGCTCTGATTGGTTCTGTTGGTCCGGCTCTGATTGGTTCTGTTAGTCCGGCTCTGATTGTTTCTGTTGGTCTGGTTCTGATTGGTTCTGTTGGTCCGGCTCTGATTG